AGTTTATCAACTATAAAATGAGGTAGCAGTCAGGCATGATGCCACATGCCTGTAATCCTAGAATTTAGGAGGCTGAGGCAGAAGACTCTCAAGTTCAAGGACAGATTGGGCTACAAGAGTAAGACTGTCTCAGAAGCAAAACAAAAGGAAGGGATAATAGTACTAATTCACAAGGTTCTATCATTGCATTACAAAAATCATAATGTCTAAGCCCAGATCAGAGCCTGATCACTAGTTATTTAAGGGGAGCAGTAAGAGGAAGTAGGCTGGTCAAGGCCTTAGGGAGTAAGCAGAGTTGGTAGTGGGAACATAAGGAGGCTCCAACAAAAGAAACAGAGGAGCCAGTGGCTAGAGGAGTGGGGAGGGAACTGTGTTCTGTAGAATTAGTGAGGCCAAGGGAGAGTGTGGCGGTTGGCATGGGTAGTGTAAATTCTGCAGGGGAGTGAGGACTGCAGAAAGCTCCAGGCAGACCTCTGGAAGTACTGTGCGGCAGCTAAGTCCACAGCTTTGGAGTCAGGCTGCCCAGGTTTAAATTCAAATCCCAGTTCAGTCACTTACTAGCTTATGACCTTGGGTAAATTATTTAACCTCTCTAAACCTCAGTTCCTTCGTCTATAAAATGAAGATAATAATAGTACTTACTTCAAATCGTGGTTATGATGATTAAATTAGATAATCCAAGCAAGAGCCCAGAGCAGAGCTGGCACATTCCAAGGGCTCAGTCGGCAGTAGGTGGTGGTGGTGGAATGATGGCAGAGGCTCTCCCTCCCTGTGGACTGGTATCTCGCTTCCTCTCTCCCTCCTACATGGGAAGTTCTTGCCCCTCACCCGCTTAGCCTTGCTGTCCCACCTTCATGCTCCCCCCTCCACACCCTTGGATGTACCTCATTGTCTCCCAAAGTCGGCCTCTCTCAAACCAGTACCCAGCTTCACTGATCTCTGTGACCTCCGTCCTGGGTGGGATAGGGGGCCGTGAGTCCCAGGAATGTGAGCCCTTGCCAAAGGAAAATGAGTCGTCCAGGGAATGGGCTGCCTTGCCCGCCTGTGGCTCATCTCTCAGTGCTGCCCCTACTTGGCCGCCAGAGGGCAGCAAGTGCACGAAGCGTGGCTCAGGGAACCCGGTGCTTGGGCAGGTGGCGACTGAGGCGGTGGGAAGAGGCTAGAGGCGAAGTCGCCAGTCTGGGGTCGCTTCTGCTCTGAAAGCCCCGGCTCCACCATTCCGAGAAGTGGCCAAGATCCTGCGTACCTGGGCTCGGTTTCCCATGCATGTGAGGGAAGCGACTTGTCCAAGGCAGCAGCACAGTGGCTGTGTGCAGAGAAAGCTGGGAAAGGGTGGTTGGAAAGGCTGTCTGCGGAGGAGAACGAGGGGCCCACGGGGAGAAAGGACAGACGTTGTCCATAGGAGTGGTGCGGTCACTGGACCCAGAAAGGAGCCCAAGTGCTGGCAGCCAAAGTCATCAGGCGGATGCCCCTGGCCAGAGCCAGGCCCTCCCAGGAAGCCGTGTGTTCCCCTCTCTGCGCCCTAGCCCCCCGGCCTTCCTTTCCAGAGCCCTGGCCCCGCCCCTTGTCCCAGGTCCGCCCTCGGGCCCGCCTCCGGGGCGGGCTCCGGATCGGCCGGCGCCGCCTCCCCTCCTCCCCGCCCTGGCAGCCAAAGTCATCAGGCGGATGCCCCTGGCCAGAGCCAGGCCCTCCCAGGAAGCCGTGTGTTCCCCTCTCTGCGCCCTAGCCCCCCGGCCTTCCTTTCCAGAGCCCTGGCCCCGCCCCTTGTCCCAGGTCCGCCCTCGGGCCCGCCTCCGGGGCGGGCTCCGGATCGGCCGGCGCCGCCTCCCCTCCTCCCCGCCGGCCGGGCCTCACAGCCCCG